TCTATTAATTTCCAAATTGTACTCGAGATCGTGCGATTTCCTATACTAATTACATGAAAATTCCTTGAGTACCACTACTTTCTTCATCAGTAATGTTTTCCCATCTCAGACCACATGTCATTCCCTTGAGTATTATTTCTTTCTTCATCAGTAATGTTTTCCATCTCAGACCACATGTCATTCCCTTGAGTATTATTTCTTTCTTTATTAGTAATGTTTTTCCCCATCTCAGACCACATGTCATTCCCTTGAGTATTATTTCTTCATTCTTCAGTAATGAAAAATAAGATGTATTGTCGATTGAAGAAACGTTGTCATGTTTCCCATTTGAAATCACATGTCATTCTCTTGACTACTATTTTTAAAATATTAAAATATGTTTAAAATCGGGCGATGTTTAAAACCCCAGATTGCCATGTTTCTTTCAAGTAATGTTTCCCATTTGAGATCACGTGTCATTCCCTTGAGTATTATTTCTTATTATTTTTAAAACTCATTGTTAACCTAAGTCTTACTTACCGTGCATAGGTCATAGTGCGACAGAGATGCCACTGCGCTTCACGTGAGAATTTATTAAAGCTTTTGATTCCTCGAAGTAATGTAACAAGTTTGTTGATCTCTGCGTCGGTTCTGTCTGAGGGATCCTGGGCACAGATCCAACGAGCCCAGAATGGAAAGTGGAGCTGTTGATATTTAGATCAATAAGATATTATTTATGAAATGGAGAGTTTGGATTTGAAGAAAAACAAGGAGAAAAGAATGAAGGGGTGGAGGAAGGAAGGAAAAAGGGAAGGAAGGCAGAAAAGTGAGAATGGATGGAGGAAGGAAGGATGGAGGAAGAAAGGATGGAGGAAGAAAGGATGGAGGAAGGAGGGATGGAGGAAGAAAGGATGGAGGAAGGAAGGACGGAGGAAGGTAGGATGGAGGAGGAAGGATGGAGGAAGAAAGGATGGAGGAAGGAAGGACGGAGGAAGGAGGGATGGAAGAAGAAAGGATGGAGGAAAAAAGGATGGAGGAAGAAAGGATAGAGGAAGGACGGATAGAGGAAGTCTCACCGTGTTATCCCTCGAAAACAAGTGTTTATTGAAATACAGTGAAGATTCTTGCACGGGTGTAGGTTTATCTTCGTTGTCAGGCAACATGTCTCTCAAATAATACATGTCGTATTCTCCACTTTTTTCTTGCTCGGCGTATTTTCTGATTCCAATACAAAATACACTGAAGATGCTGACTAGACGAACTGCATGCCTGAACCTTTCTCTTAGCTAATACACGATGAAAAGAAAAAAGTTATATTGTTAGTATTAGTGTTAGAGATTGTGAAAGTGGTGTTAGTGTTGTATTGGTGGTGTT